CTTGCCACATCCAACATCCTGAATTACAAATTTAAGCCTCTTTAAAACTAGAGATTATTAAAGTCAGATTTCTTAAAAGAACAAACCAAACCTTGCACAAGTCCTAACAGTGTCTAGTCCTAGAAGACACCACAGGAGGTTGAAATCAAACCCCAGTCCTCACAGCTGTGATCACTTCACCCTCATAAAACCTGTCCTTAAAGACACACTGCTGAGAGCTAAAGCCTTCCTATTCCACCCCATTTTAGAACACAAATAGCTAACTCGTGCAAGTACAACAGAGCTGTTTCACTGGTTACAGGCAAAAAAACAGATATCAAAAAAATACTGAAAATTGCCACTAAAATCCATGTGCATACCAAGCAAGTGCAACCCTACCAGCCAAAGGGAAATCTGCTGCAGACTTTCAGTGCCACCCCAACCCACAGCACTGATGGAGCAGTCCTGGATGGCTTGTGGTCCTGCAGCCCACCAGGACTGGCACCCATTGCCCTCCCAGCAAACCACACCAAGGACCTGCTCTAGGCTAGAAACAGCTTTTTTCCAAACTAGTTTTAATTTGCATCAATTCCCTAATTTAATTCACAGAGCAGCCACAATACTTGTCACGCAAGGAAAGCTGTGGAGGAGGGGAGCTTAAAGCGAGCATGAAACCGGAGCCTTAATTACAACAGCAGCATTTCAGCTGGGAACCGTAAACCTCTTCAATAAAGCAAATAGCATTACTGCATTTTTTAATAGAGTGGATAATTTCACTGGATTTTTCCTTTTCTTCCAAAAAATTATGAGGCAAGATGCTGGAAACCTAGATCTTGGAATCACTTAGCTTACAATTTTTACTACCCAAAAAAGCCTCTCAATGATCAAGCCATGTAATTTGCAAATCATGCAATTCAAAGGCACATCATTATGGCAAAATGGAAACATCTTGCACAACCTCATCTCACCAAGAGGCAACAAACAGACAGAGAATCAGGTGTGGCGAAAACAAAAATAAAACTTGAGTAACTGATCTGTGCCCCCAAATGACAGGAGTCCTTTTTATTCCACTAACATAGAATCATAGAATCATTTGGGCTGGAAGGGACCTTTAGAGGTCATCTAGTCCAACCCCCCTGCGGTGAGCAGGGACTTCTTCAACTAGATAAGGTTGCTCAGAGCCCCATCCAGCCTGACCTTGAATGCCTCCAGGGATGGGGATTCCACCACCTCTCTGGGCAACCTGTTCCAGTGCTTCACTACCCTCATTGTAAAAAATTTTTTCCTTATGTCTAGTCTAAATCTACCCTCTTTTAGTTTAAAACCATTACCCCTTGTTCTCTCACAGCAGACCCTGCTAAAAGGTCTATCCCCATCTCTCATATAGGCCCCCTTCAGGTATTGGAAGGCCACAATGAGGTCACCTTGAAGCCTCCTCTTCTCCAGGCTGAACCCCAACTCTCTCAGCCTGTTCTCATAGGAGAGGTGCTCCAGCACTCGGATCATTTTCATTGCCCTCCTCTGGACCTTCTCCAACAGGTCCATGTCTTTCCTGTGCTGAGGGCTCCAGAGCTGGATGCAATACTCCAGGTGAGGTCTCACCAGAGCGGAATAGAGGGGCAAAATTACCTCCCTTGACCTGCTGGCCACACTTCTCTTGATGCAGCCCAGGATGCAGTTGGCAAACATATTCTACATATTATTTGTCTACAAACTCTGAATCTGCATGCTGAGAACACTCGGGTTGTTTTTGAAAAATGACAGTAGGAGATTAAAAAAAAGAACCAACCTTATGAGCTGCCATCAGTATGTTCTAAAAAAATCTATTCTCTGCAGAAACTTTCCCTCAGACAGTAGCTGGTACAGCCTTCCCAGCCAGGAATCAAAGGGATTACCAGGAAGCTTCCAGCCATGGGCATTACACTGAATATAGGTGTTTTCTAGCCATGTTGATACAAAGAAAACTGTTTAAGAAATTGTTTTTCACTGGATAGGAACTAGGTGGCAACTGTCCACTCTGCGTGAGGCCTGCACAGCCCCACGGCACTATGTGCACTGCACAGCTCCCTGAAGCAGTGGTAGCAGAGCAAGATCTGCACCTAATGGTACTTCACAGATGAAGTTATAAATTATACAGTTATAAATTATGACAAAAAACAATGCTTCATCCCATGCTTGGTTAACTGAGCAGTCTGGAGCACTTCATGACTGAGTATTTCAGGCCTTTAGTTGTTCCAGCATCTCTATTATTCAGTTGTTGCATCTTTGGGTTTCATTATACCTCCTTTCATACTTCACTGCTTCAAAACACGGCTAATTTATTCCCTTGTATCATACAAATCCCAGTGTATTTCTTTGACTTACTTCAAAGCATGGTTTTCTATCAGCTGGTCTCACAGTGCTTATTCTATCTTTCTTCTTGCACCTGCTCATTGAAATGTTTTTTTCTTTCCCCTCCTCCCTCCCAGTTCCCAAGAAAACAGCCTCCTACTATTCAGCAGAAATGTGTTAAAGGGTGTGTATAAAGAAAAGGAGCTAAGCATTTCTGCATGTTCAAATAAATCAGAATGATTCATAAATTAAGGGACTATTTTGGATCTGCTCTCCCAGGTAGCACAGTCCCTCATATTGATTTATGCATCAAGAGTAGGAAGTGCATTTGTCTTCCTTGCAACTTCCTTCAGCCTCTGGGTAATGTTATAACCTTGTGGTCATGCGGAATGAGAGCTAAGAAGTGTTATTGAGGTTTACTGGATTCAGATTTAGTGTGGGAAATATCTGTTACTCCCTGTGTAAATAAAGCATAGAAAAACTATGTTTATATTCTCTCTAAAGGTAATGCTTCTCCCCAGGCAGCACAACCACCTGTCTGAAACTCCTGTGAGGAAAATCCATAGTAAAAGCAAGGATGTGGATATAGAGTACAATTAATCCCTATATAATTTTTTCTGCCTGCTCTGACTGTGCTTAACCTCTCTATCATTGCGTAATTTTCAGATCTGCCTTCATAAGGCAAATCTCTTTCACTGTTGTCTATGGGATGCCACATTTCTGCCTGGATGGACAGATGTCAAAGCTCAAAGTCTGGTTCTCTGGCCAAACTTCCAGAAGTCAGATAGCCAAGGGGAAAAATCCTCAAATTTTACTACTTAGATACTATTTCAGAGAGGAAAAATTGGATATTTTCAGATTTTTCTGAATGTTTAGTAGTTCTGTCTTTGGCTCCTTTGAATGGTTATCACCCAAGCATTTTTAAGAGTATCTTCAGCATTCTGGATCCAGAGAAGATTTGCATGTTTCTGGCCTATATCTTGTCTCTCCTGGGCTTTATAAAATTAGTAATTTATGTGAGATGACCTACACACCCTTTAATGGGTAGTTATAATACCTTTACAAGTGAAAGTGTGACTTACAAAAGTGCAGTCCTGCCCTTATTTCAAACAAGTACACCTGTAGACAAGTGCTTTGAACATCACCTTACAAATGCACTTCAAAATGATCTTTTTCATATTAGTGCTATTCCGCCCTTGAACATAGGCTGATTTTCACTTCACACAGGATTGTGTTGAACAGTGCATTTTATTGTATGCACAACTGCTAAAACTATTAAGGACAGATTCAGCCAGTTAATTTATTTTTTTCTTACTTTTGACACTAGGAAGGACACAAGCCTAGGTCTCCAGAAGTGGAAAGAACAGAGCCAAGTTCTCAGCCAAAATGTGTCACACACTGGCACTTAAAGAAAACCAGATGACTTAACAGAAGACAGTGCTTCATAGTTTAAGATATCTCACTTCTTGGCTAATGTAACTTTCAATTGTTTCTTTTTAATCTGACATTATATGCATATATGCATATTCTTTTTGAAATCTATTTTAATAATTTATGAACTTTGTTGTTTTCCAAGAAACCCATTTCAATACAGTATTGGGTCTTTGTACATTTGAAATACATTCCAGACAGAACCACCACAGCCAATTTTTTCTTCACTGTTCAGTCTTCAACACATAACTCATATCTACTATGTTTGAAAAAGTCTGGACTTTGTTTCATTCTCAGTATAATTCATTGTGAAAGATTTGAGTATTTCAAGCTCTTTACAATATAATTAACCATTAGCACTTATAATCTACTTGCTCCAAAGCTTTCTATGCAAATAATACAAACTTCAGATTAAAAGAAAGTCTTATAATTACACTTTTGTAACCTGAAGTTACATTGGCACATTTCGCTAAAGATTTTAAAACAATCTTCTGCTGCACACTGACAAATTGTTTTCTATACATCCTTCCATTATATTTTCAACATTTACTGTAGCTTTGGACATTTCAGCACATACACTTTTTATTTTTGAACAGCACATATTATTCTGATGTGTTCTGAGACAAAGCCTGACTGATTTATTCATTACTACCTTTTTCTGCTCTCTGTAATGTTTTTTAATCCAAAATTTTGAGAATTTTAGGAGTTTTGTGTCAGGTTCATTTATTGAAAGGTATTTTCTCCTGTTTGCTCTCAAGTCCTCAGTTAGCAGACTCATCTCACAACAGCACATCACAATGTCACGTAAGGAAAAAGTCAAACACAACCCAGATCACAGTTCGTATCTGATAAAACACGGCAGCTTCAGTAACATCATTACAAAACTAATTGTAAAGAACCACAACTATTCCATGTTATATTTTAGGGCCAAATACTCACAAAGCCTTCACTGAAGGCAGCTAGTGCCATAAAGCACTTAACCCCTCTCAGCAGTGGTGGCAGTCTACCTTTATGAGAACACCCATGGACAGTCTCCTACAGTAGTAGAATTACTGCGATTTCTCATGTATTGATGGCCACTGGCTGCTGCCCTTCATCAGAGGAACAAATCTTGGCTCTTCAGCAGAGACTGGAGAGGCTCTGGTGGGTTCTCCAAAGTCCAACTGCTAATCATGTCAAAGCCATAACAGGACAGTGTATGCATAATAATACTGATGTTTATTATTAAAAGATCTATGCAAAAATAAAATTTATCTTACCAAAAGGAGGAGACTCTCTCCCATCTTCTAATCCTGAATCTCGTTCTCTGTCTCTCTTTCTGTGTTTATGTCCACGGTGCCTATGGCGTCGGTGACTTTTTCTTCCACCCAGTGGCACATGAACTCCAATGAACAATGTTCGATGGCCTATAGGTAAAAAAAGCTACTTTTTAAAAAGGGGCTGTAGCAACATAACAACAATATTAATAACCATAATAGCATTAATGGTATAATAATTATTATAATTGTGTAACTGTATAATATTGATTATTTTAATGTTAATATTGTAACATTATTGATTACAATAACGATGATGTAGCGTCACAGATATAAAAGCCCTTGATATAGGACAAAATCCCAGTATTGAAGTACTTATGATGCAGAGCCAGATTTACTTTTTTTTTTCCTTCAAATTTGCATCTGTGTGTGTGAACTTTCATTAAAGCCAGACAGGTGTTCTGTAAAATGTCTTCCAAAACAGTAACATGAAGAGACACATGGATCTTTTTTGCATTGAACATTTGGTAAAGTTGCTGTTTGCTTCGTGTGTACAGGAACTTAGAAAACTCATCGCTATTTAAGAGCCAAACCTTGACAGAATTCTTGTGGGAAATTCACTGAAGGGAAAAGAGAAAAAAAAAAAAAAAAGACTGAAAAGAACAATAAAGCACTGTGGAAGATAGACTGCAAAATCCCTATACAACTTTATATGTTCACATCATAAATACATTGTTGGTAGGTTAGGCTGCTTTCATTTCTTCTATCTTATTTTTTAAAATACATAAGAAGGTACACGCTGCCATGCCTGCTTCCTATAAGCCTTTGAGCCTGAGGAATTTTATGTTGCTGATCAAGCCCAAAAGATTTAGCTCTCTTAGCTATGTGGGCTAACACGATCAGAGTACAGTAAAGCATTTAGAAGGGGGAGAGCCCAGGGAAAATGTGCAGAAAGTACCACAAAACAGAACAAATGGGAAAGGAATCATGACTCACTACAGGCAGGTCTCCTACATTTACTCAGCAGAAAGACACAGTCCAGATTACTCATCTCAAATAACATTTCTTTTCTCCTTGAAATGAGCATAACACCGCTAGTGGATAATTGCTGCTCTGCTGTAATCATTCAGCAGTGCCAATCATCTGAAAAAGGTCAAGAACATTAAGCTGAGGTAGCACGTGATCTCTAATCCCACGGAGACTTCAGCGGGGGCAGAAAACACAGCAAGGCAGCATTTGTCACAATACATCAAAGAAATTCAAGGCTGACAGGAATTCTCTGCAGAGGCAGGGCTAAAAAAGCTGGAGAAAAGGCTCTGGACACCACACTTCCTCAACTTTGATTCATGTAGAGGAGAGTAGAAAGCAGAGGTATCAGTTTCTGTGAGACTATTCTTGCAGAGTCCGGAGATTTTTCTGAAGCAAAGGCCAAGAGTTGAGAATTATTTATTTATTTATTTATTAGATACCTCTTTCTTCTTGCTTATTACATTTAACCCAAGAAATCATTTAAAGAGAACTGTTGCCTTTGGTGTATTTCAAGTGTATTGCAATCAGTGGTGCATGAAACAAGGAAAAATGTATTCCATAAAAAGAATTCATTAAAAAGATACTGAAGGGCAGCAGTAATGTAGTACTCAATACTTGCTTGTCCCCTTCCTAGGACAGAAAAAAACCAAAACATTTTGAAAGGACTGAGGTTACCCTTTCTAAGACTTTAATCATTTCCAGAGGTGCAAATAGATTGCTTTTTTAATTTAG